AAACATGAGTCAGAAAAAACAAGAGACAAAAAAAAAATCTAAGATAAACAAGACTATTTTAAGCCTATAAAAATCAATCAATAAAGATTTATTGAACATCTACTATGTGCCTGGCATTATGCTAAGCTCTAGGGATACAAAAAAAGGCAAAAGACCATTCCTGCCATCAAGAAGCTCACAATCTAATAGAGGAAACAATATGCAAACAAATATATACGCTGTATATATAGGATAAATTAGGGAAGGTGCTAGAAATAAGAAGAGTTGGGAAAGACTTGCTGTAAAAGATGGATTTTAGTTAGGACTTTAAGGAAGCCAGAGAAGCCGGCAGGCAGAATTGAGAAGGGAAAGCATCACAGGCATGGGGGAGCAGTCAGAGAAAAATGCCCACGGGAGATAGAGAGATGTGTGTAGAACAGCAAATACTGTAGACAGTATCACCAGTTCAAAGACTCCAGGACAGGGAGTAAGTCGTGAGAAGCAAAATAGTCTCAAGTTGTCAAATACACACAATCAGCCAAGAATCACTACAAACAGAAAAGATCAAAATGTATATATGAGGACAACAGATCACTGATGAAAAGGCTTAGCATGATGTAACAGGGGAAAACCCCCACTATCACTATATTTGGAATCAGAGGAGCTGGGTTCAAGGTTCAAATCCCGGCTCTGGGACTTACTACATCTATGACCTTGGGAAAGTCACTTTACCTGCTGGGCTTCAGTTTCTTCATATGTAAAAATGAGAAAGCAGGACCAGTTAACCTCTAAGTTTCCCCTCCAGTTCTAAAACAGCAAACCTATCATTTTTCCATCTCTAAATTCTGTAATCCTAGATATTTAATAATGAAATAGGGCTGAGCAATTAGCATATTAAAAAGTTGAGTTCTGAAATAAAAGAATGACTGAAAGTTTCACGGCCCTTAAGAAAGCATTACTCCTAAAAATAAAAAATAAAAATAAAAAAAATAAAGCATTGCTCCAATTAAAGGGACAATAATTTTAATTTGAATATACAAAGACACACTTCAACTGATAAGGGAACAATAATGGAAAACTCCAGTCACAAGTATAATAGCCATAATGGAGAGCACTAAACACCTACTAAGAGACAAAGAAAGTGAAGCACAAAACAATGGTATTTGAACTTAACTATTCATTGTTTATTGTTTGGAACACTAGCATTAATTTGTCTCTTTCCAACAAATGGACCAATGGGCCTAGCAGGATAAGAAAAATAAAAACAGAAATAATCACCACCACTATAGTGGATATATTCCTGCCCTCAATGGGTTTATCCTGGAGGATATACAGAGAGACAGAGAGAAAGAGAAAGAGAGCGAGCTGCAATGTGTGTGCGAGAAAGAAAGAGAGAGAAAGAGAGAAAGAGAGAGAGAGAGCGCGAGCTATAATACACGATATTATATGAAAACCATAAAATTATTTCAATTATAAAACAGCACCAAGAAAAATATAAGGGGAAATACTACAGTGCTGTTTGGGTGTGGAGAACCTTAAAAGTCAATTTAAACTTCACTCAAAAGGCAAACAGGAAGCTACTGAATAAGAGTGGAGATATCTATCTATCTATCTATCTATCTATCTATCTATCTATCTATCTATCTATATATATATATGTGGAATGACCTTATGCAGTGGGTTTGGTTTTATATATATAAAACCAAACCCACTGCATAAGGTCATTCATTCTAGCAGCAGTATGAAAGATGGAAAGATGGATTGGCAGTGAGAAGAAAGTGGAGGCAGTAAGACCTGTGAGGAGACTATTCCGATCATCTAAGTGTATACTAGACATGACAAATAGAAGAATGATTCCAGAGATGTTGCCCAAGATATAATTAAAACGACTTGGTCTGAATATAAGGGACAAGTAGAGACAAAGATAACCAACCCCTCAGGATATTAAACATGGAGACTTCATGAAAAGTAATAGAGCAGTCAGAGATAGTAAAGTCAGAGAAGCAAATTTAGAGGAAGAGATAATCAGCTCAATTTTAGACAAGGCAATTGAGGTATAGAGGGGATATTCAAGTGGAGATGTCCTGAAGGCATCTGATGATATCAATCATGTTAAGTACAAATTTAGACTTGGGACTCATCTACTTAAAGGGGGTTGTTGAAGCTTTGAGAATATAGTCTCCAAAGAAAATAATATGGAGAAGGACAGAACCATGAAGAAGAAACTTAAAAACAAAAGCTAAAAGAAAAGATTTGTAGAATGTTAGAGTTGGAAGGGTCCTCAGATCACCTAGTCCACTCTCCTCTTTTTAAAGATGAGGAAAGTGAGAGGTTAACTCTTACTTTTAAAGCATCAGAATTGTGACTTAAAGAGTCAGAAAAATGGTTTTTTGAATGTCAATTTTAGTAACAAGCCACCCCACAGTTACAGAATTTATTTTTAAACATTAAAATCAAAGAATCAAGAACTTAGTTCACTAAGTTTATGCTCCATAGAACCCATTCTAACTCTTCCCTGCTTTTTAACTTTCTATCTTAATTATCTATTTCAAAATAATATAATTTATAATAATAATTACATTTATACAGCATTTTGAGGTTTGCAAAGTCTTCCTCACAACAACCCTGTGGCATCAAGTATTATCATGCCCATCTGAGGAAGCTAAAAGCTCAGTAAAATTAAATGACTTGCCTAAGGTCACACAACCATATGTTCAGAACCATAATTCTCCACTGGCAATTCTCCACTAATGCTCTTTCCACTTTCTTTTAATGTTAGTGTTTTATTTCCAAACATGAATAGTTCAAAAGCTGCATTAGGATGAGAAAATTCTAACCAACTTCCACATATAGATGTCTTTAAAATTTTCCTGTACCATAAGCAAAACTATGATAAACTTTATTTCACTCTTATTCCATTAAGTCATTCTGTGGACCTTTAAAAAGTGTTTGATTAGAAAACTTATAATACAGATGAAGATCCTCCTATATATTGTCCTAGAATCCACATTTAATTATCGGGGTTAAAAAGAACTATGAAATAAGTTAAATAAGTACAATAAAGTAGGTACATAGTGATCACTAAGAAAATTTGGAGGTAAATTCTCCTTCAAATATAGTTTGCATTGATTAGGTTTTGTTTAAAATTATAAACTGCCTAAATTCATACTAACTTCAAAAAGTATCAAAAAAGGTTACTGTACCAACAGTGGATGGTCCTAGTGAACTAATTTGTCTAGGGCCTAGCAGACCCCTCCACAATGTAAGATGTAACACCTCATCCATTTTTATTTTTGTCACAGAGGTAGTCAGCTATACATTCATATTTAGATATTTCTAAGTATCTACATCTACATGGTCAACAAACTTGGCAATTCCTAACAAATGAAGCACAAGGCAGGTAGGAGTAATAAATTACTAACAATACCTCTGACAATGTTATTTATTACTACCAATGATTCTTCATATGAAATTTTAACTTCTCCATCCCACTTCCTTCAAAATCATCCCTGCAAAGCTGACCTAGTTACATGCCTGAAATTGGGGCTACTACCTTGAAGGAAAATAAAGGTTAAGTAATTGGGTAGTCCTAAAAATATACATCACACCTGCATGACTAAGATACTGATTTGAAACTTGTGCCAAGATCTCCTCTCCCTTCAAAACAATAACTTGAAAAATGACTCACAGATCATGTCATCAAACAAAACAAAAATGAATTCTCAGGTACTTGCTTCACAATTCTTTCACTGACCTTCTTCTCCATTCCATCCCCCTAAAACCAATAATAATACTATCTTTAACTGTCCGTACAAAGTCAATGAAAAACTCAAAAGTTCCTCACTTTATCTTATGGCATTCTTGAAAGAAGCTAGTAAGTAAATACAGCATATTAAAACTAACTTCTACATCACTGAAAATTAGACCTATGGCTTTTTATTTGAATAAAGAGCTAGCACGGTCATTTCAGCCACCCCTACCTCAGATCCCACCCCTTTTCAATGATCCAGACATTCCATTTGCTACGGCTAGTCATCTGAGCAAAAGGTCTAGATTTCATCTCCCTAAAATGGGAATCTTTCTTCCTCCTTCTATGACACTCAACAGTACTCTGTGAAGCCTTCTCTACTTGCTTAAGAACTCACAGGATTGTTGTGAGGCTCGACAGAGAATATATGTCAAGTGCCTTTGCAAACCTTAAAATACTATATAAATGCTGGCATTATTCTTAGTATTATTAAAATGCAAGTCTTTGGCTTGTGGCTGGGAGTGGACAAAAGACACTAGAGGAAAAGCTATGCAAAAGTTAAAGTACTATTACGAAGTATTTTTATTTAATCCATCAATTAAATGGGGAATAGTGAAGACAAAATGAGATTTTCAAAAAAGATTGTGACTCAGTTACCCCTTTTTCCCCGCACACCTACGGCTTTCCTCATCCACCATCATTAGGAATGCACTAAACAGGCCCAACAAACTCCCTGCCAGGCCTCTGGGGAGTCTCTGAGGATAGAATGACAGGCCAACACCTTTCTCCACCTACCCCCCTTGGGGGGAGAGGGGGAGTGTTAGTGCAAAAGGTGCAGGAACTCCACAGGGCTCACCCCACGGACTCCAAGCAATCTCCAGGTTAGAGGGTCTCGTTCGATTGGGGTTGGTTATTTGGAGGGTCCCCAGAAGATGCACCACACACAATAAAACCCTCTCCCACCGCCAGACTGAGAAGACTTCCCTCCCCTGGTCACCAGACTTTCCCCAGACCGCCTGCCTCCGAGGAGGGAGAAAGGGAGCGGGGTGAGCGAGGCCTCCTTCCTTCCCTGCCTCCCGGGATCGCGGGCACGGCCCGGAGGCGCTGGCGAAGCGGGCCGGGGACACTGGCAGCTGGGCCTCCCGCACACCCCAGGACCGATAGCTGGGGGAGGGGAGACGGAAGGAAGGGGTGTACACACACGTACACGCGCGCACACACACTCTCTCTCTCACACGCGGGGCGACCCCGGGGGAGCGGGGCATGGCCGTACCTTGAAGTAGCCGCCCTCGTAGAGCGTGTTGGGGGGCCCGAAGATGGCCACCTCCCAGTTGTAGAGGTCGGACTCGTCCACCAGGGTGATCCGGAAGCCCTCCACCGGCTCCTCCTGCAGGGATTTGAGCTCCAGCATCAGGGCTTTCTGCGAGCTGGTCATCTGCTGCTGGGCCATGGCAGCGGCGGCGGCGGCGGAGGCGGCGGCGGCGGCGGCGGCGAGGGCTAGGGCCGGGCCGCCGGGCCCCTCTCCAGTCCCCGAGGCCCCGGCTCCCACACAGGCCTCGCTCTCCTCCCCACCGGCCGCGGCGGCTCCTCAGGACTGCGGCGGGGCGGGGGAGGGGACGGGAGAGGCCTCCTCACAGGTGTGGGTGTGGGTGAGCGTGTGTGTGAGTTGAGTGTTGTGCTGGGGGTGTGGGGGGGGAGGTGGGGGAGGAATCGCTCCCTTTCCGGGGCCTCCCCCCCAAGGGGGGGGCCTCTGCGGGAGGAGGTGGAGAACTAGGAGGAGGAGGAAGAGGAGGAGGAAGAGGAAGAGGAAGGCAGAGGGAGGGGGGAGTATGGGGGAGACCCGGCCCAGCGCCGCCGCGCTCTTATCCCTTTCTCTCTCTCTCTTTCTCTCACGCGCGCTCGCTCTCTTTCTCTTCTCTGTCTCTTTCTCTTTCCGTCTCCTCTCCCTCTGCTCAGGGGCCGGGGGAGGGCGCAAAGCGCCCGAGAAGGGGGAGGGGACAGCGACGGGGGCACGCGCGAGGGTCTCGCGGCAGCGGCTCTGCCGGGGGAAGGGGCGGGGAAAGAGAGGGTCTCGCGCGCCGCGGGAGAAAGAAGGGGGAGGGGGCGGCCGCGCGCGCGCGCGTCGGCGGTGGTGTTGCTGGTGCTAGTGGTGGTAAGGTGGGAGAGGGGGCGGCTCTCCTCAGCGGCGGGGCGCGCGCGCGCCCCTCCCTCCTCCTCCTCCTCCTCCTCCTCCCCCCCGCCGTCTCCTCCTCCTCCTCCTCCTCCTCTTCCAGTCACTAGCTCCTTTCTCGCCGGCCACTTGGGCCCTTTGTGACGCCAGCAAAGCACCCTGACCTCAGCGCGCTCAGTTCCAGGGGCGGTGGCAGCCCCGCCAGCTGTTTCCTCCCTCCCCATCCCGTCCCCGCCCCTTGCTCCTCCCATTTTCCTCCCCTCCGCCTCAACCCTTAAAGGAATAGTTTCAGGCTTGGCTTTTGTGGAGGAGGAGGGGTAAGAGGGATTTCTCCCCCCCCTTCCCTCCTCCCCAGTCCTTGTGTGTCTTGCAGGAGTGGAGCGAGGGAGCGGTTGGGGTACAGGGTTGGCTAAGAAAGGAATTGGAGGATATGTATGTCCGTGTGATCCTCTCCTGCCCTGGGGAGGAGCGAGGAAGAGGTCTCGAGAAGTGAGTGGGGATTTCTTGTTATCCCTAAGTTTATGCCTTGGAGATACAGGACAGCGAAGGCGGGAATGGGGGAGGCTGGAGGTGCGCGCGTGCCCCTCTCTTTGCCCAGCCTGGCGCTTGCAGAATTGAATCGGAACTTCACCGCTGGAAAGAAATGTAGATATTTAGATAGGTTACTAGGTGACCTCTGGATGGACCGGCCGACGAGGGGAGGGGCCATCTGGGGGGTGCCTGGAGTAGAGCAGCTGACCTAGAGGGGTTCATGAACAAGGTAAAGAGAAGAGCCAGAAACAAAGTAGGGTAAGAATGGTTGACCTCCTAAAAGGCCTCGTTAGAGATTTCTGGATGATAGCAGAAGTAATTGTCAGAGACCTGGACTTGCCCTTTCAAACTGGAGTAAGCTGCTTGAGGTGCCTGAAAACTTAAGAGCAACCTGGTATGGAGATAACTGAGGGCTGAGGGCTTGTGATATGGTTGGTGTGAAAAACTTTGAAGGGTGGCTGTAGCATATACTTAGTTGGAAGGGACCTGAAAGAGGTTGGGACGGGGGAGGCCAATGTACAGTCCTTCCTTTCCAGTTCAATCATATGACTCCTTACCCACTCAAAAGAATTTCAGGGGAGAAGTTACTTATCCGTGTTCACCCAGCTAAGTGGCATACCCATAACTAGATCCCAGGTCTCCTGCTTCTCATTTCATTGTGCAGTTTACTACACCAGTGGTTCCCATTTACTGGATCCTGAGCCCCTTGGGCATTTTTTAAATGATCCAAGAAGTCGGAGCTAAGAATTATTTAATGGCACCTTTAAGCAGTAAATAATTATAGAATATTGTAAGTATATTTAATTGCCCTGGTGGTTTACATTACGTTTTGTTGTTGCTGTTGAAAGGGCTTCACAGAACAACAAAAAAAAAGTTGGGAGTCACTGCACTATCTCATTCTGCCTGTTGCATTTGTCCTTTTGGATAAAGCTTCTTGACCTAGGGTCTGTGAGCTTAATTTTTTTTAAATTTGATAACTATTTCAACATAATTGATTTCCTTAGTAGTCCTATCTATTTTATGTATTTAAAAACATAATTCTGAGGAGTCCATAGGCTTCACCAGACTACCAAAGGGGCCCATGACCTAAAAAAAAAGCTCAGAATGCCTGTGTTTAAAGCCAAACTCAAGATTACCAGCAGCTCAATTTTTTTTCAGGTGTGACTACAGACAGACTATACCAGAATAGGGCATTTGTTATAAAAGGCTTATCCTACACCCAAAAATATATGCTTGTATCTGACAATCAACTATAAACAATGACCTAAGTTAGCTCTGGACTCACATGGCATCCTGGAGACTTTTTAATAATAGTCTGGCCTGTGCCCTTTACCTAGAATTTCCCCTAGAAACACCAGAATTTGAACATTACTTTTTCTCTACCTCAGGCTACATACAGTGTAACCCTCATACTGAGTCTTTTTGAGGTTGAAAATAAACACAGGCATCCCCTTTCATCTTTCCAGTCCTAGTCATCTTCTTCCCCCTGGTATTCCAAAAGGGCCCAGGTTTGCAAGTTACCCTGAGGCACAGAGAAGCTTTAAGAAAGCATCAAACACTTTGGAGGAAAGAGCAAAACGGATGGCTGCTGCCAGAGCAAAAAATTCATATCCCTATTATGCAACCACTAAGTATTTAAGAAGTTATCTAGTTTGATCTGAGGCTCGAACTTAATCTTTGATAGACTAAGCTGTAGAAAAAACAGAAGACATGGTCCCTAACTTTAACAATAGTAAATAGTTCAAGGGGTAAGAAGAGAGAGCAAAAGACGACTGCTTAAGTGGAACATTGTTTGGAACAAAACAGATAGAAAATAAACTACATGGCACTGACTAGAAATACAATAGGAGAATAAGAAAAAGGCGAGGTCTTTAGTAGGGAAGGCATATTAAAGGAGCCCTTCCAGAAGGATAGGTTGAATTTAGTTTGGAGACGGAAGAAGAGATTCCAATGATAGAAACAAAGACTAGGAGTTTGGGAATGGGCAAGATGTGGGGAGTGGGCATTTTGGAACCCTCCTCTGAGTCAATTCTGTACTAGGATTCAACCACATTCTGCCTATGATTCGCTGTGACAGGGCTTCAACTTCCTTATATCACAGGTATCCAAACAACCATGTAGAAGCCAGCTTGACTTAAGAATTCTAAATCTGCTTTTTCTGTGACATTGAGGTCAAGGAGTAATACCTTTATTTTCTACCCCTTTTCCTCAAGTTTTATGCTCCTGAGCCCAGGAAGGTGTTGTCCAACTGTTAAAGCCATCCTTATGTAATCCTTAAGTAAACCATAAATGTTCCTTCCCTTGTTTTCAGCCTGTATTTTATGACAAGATGCTTGAAATTTTGTATTTAAATAATAATTCATTTTATCCAAATTACATGTAAAAACAATTTTTAACATTCTTTTTTTTTTAAATTTGAGTTCCAGATTCTCTCCTTCCCCCTCACTGAGATGGTAAGCAATTTGATATAGGTTATACATGTGCAATCATGTAAAACATGTTAAGGTATTAGTCATGTTGTGAAAGAAAACACAGGCAAAAAAAAAAGCAAATAGTATTTATATTATTTTGTTTTATATTTTCTACCAATGAAAGTGCTTTTAATGTTTTTCCATTGCTTATAATGTTGACTACTAGTCAAAGACAGATGCTCTTTTCTGCAGTAAGAACAAACTCCTCTATTTGGATATGAGTTGGTATTTCTTTTTAATAAACCTTTGCTCATTTATTTTTGAAAAGCATCAAATAATATTACTGTCTTTAGAAATTTGTTCATTGGGTAATATGTGCTATTAATATTTTAAAAAGTCATTCTGAACCTAATAAGCACCTAAAAAAATTCCATGTACAAAATGGAATAAAAAAAGATAATTTCTTGTGAAACCATGAAACTTTATGACATGTAACTTTCTTTTCTTTTTACATGTTTAACAAATTCAGCATAACTTTCAAAGCTGCCCTGCTTGTCTGTGTTTCCTTCTAGCCTTCCTTCTTTTCACTTCTGTGCGCTAAAAAAAATAATAAAACCTCAGGGACTAAAAACAGGGACTGTTTCTCTGTCTCTTATTCTTTCTCTTCCTCTCACAAACCAATTGCTACCTCTTCTTGATCTTTTTTGTATTTCAGTATTTTTGTGTTCTTATATTTTTGTGAGCATTTATTTTATTCCCAATATTTAACATATTTGTTTTCTTGCTATAAATTATTTTTATTGTGATGATTGTTTTGATAAATTGCCAAACTTTATTTGCTAATATACTGTTTAGTATTTTTGCATTTATATTAATTCATAAAATTGTACCATAATTATTTAGTGTCATCTTTGTCAAGTTTCAAAATCACATTTACCTCATAAAAGAAATTAGGCAGCATTTCATATTTCTCCATTTTGAAAAATAGTCTGTGACGTATTGGAATTGCCATTTGTTCTTTGAAGTTTTGAAAAATTAACCTACAAATCTATCTTGACCAGATAATTTTTTTAGTGTTAATTCATTGATGATAACATAATTCTTCCTCTGAAATCACTATTTAAATTGTCTATTTTTGTTGTGTGAATTTGGATGTTTTATATTTTTGCAATCAGTACAAGGCAATCCACAAACAATTATCTGGAGGACTTCAATCACAGCAGAGGTTCTTAACCTTTATTATGTCATGGACCTGTTCTGGCAGTCTGGTAAAGCCTATGGACATCTTCTAAATATGTATTAAAATCCATATAATAAAAAACAAAGAATTTTTTTAAAAAAGCAAAAAGAATAAAGCAAAAAATAGTATGTTTCAATTTGTGTTCAGATTCCATCCGTTTTTTCTCTAGAGCTCGATATTTTTCATCTTGAGGCCTTTGGAATTGTCTTGTATCATTGTATTGTTGAGAATAGCAAAGTCATTTACAGGTGATCATCATACAATATTGCTATTACTATGTACAGTGTTCTCCTGCTTCTGCTTACTTCACTTAGCATCAGTTTGGAAATCACTTCTTA